CTCTTATCGAATTACCACGATAGTTTATGAGTTAGGCATTAGAGACAACCACATTCACTTTAAATAGGGCACCACGTAATTCCGATGAGATGACACAGTATGAACTATGGTTTAGAGAAACCTAAGCTGTCATTTGTTAAAAGGTTTGGGGCTGCGACGCTTATGTGAAAAAGTTTCAGGCTGATAAGCTCGAACCCAAAGCGGATAAATGCATCTTCATAGGACACCAAAAATAGTTGGGTATACCTCCTGTCTCAGATCCGAAAGCAATAAAGGATTGTTTCTAGAACCGGGTCCTTTCTCGAGGAAAAGTTTCTCTCGAAAGAATTGAGTGGGAGGATGGTGGAGACTTGATGAGGTTATTGAACCGTCACTTCAACTAGTGTGTAGCAGGGCACAGGGAGTTGTTCCTGTGGCACCTACACCAATTGAAGTGGAAGCTTATGATAGTGATCATGAAACTTCGGATCAAGTCACTGTCAAACCTCGTAGGATGACAAGGATGCGTACTACTTCAGAGTGGTACGTAATCCTGTCTTGGAAGTCATGTTGCTAAACAACAATGAACCTACGAGCTATGGAGAAGCGATGGTGGGCCTGGGTTCCAAAAATGGCTCGAGGCCATAAAATCCGAGAGAGGATCCATATATGAAAACAAAGTGTAGACTTTGGAAGAACTACTTGATGGTCGTAAGGCTGTTAGGTACATATGGATTTTAAAAGGAAGACGGACAATGATGGTAAGTATCACCATTAAGAAAGCTCGACTTGTCGTTAAGATGTTTTCCGACAAGTTCAAGGAGTTGACTACAATGAGACTTTCTCACTCGTAGCGATGCTAAGAGTCTGTTGGAATTATATTAGCGATTACTGCATTATTTATGAAATCTTGCAGATAGGATGTCAAAAACCATTGTTTCCTCGACGATTTTCTTGAGGAAAGGTTGATGTGATACAACCGGAAGGTTTTGTCAATCCTGAAAGATGCTAACAAGTATGCAAAGCTCCAGCAATCCTTCTAAGGACTAGAGTAAGCATCTCGGAGTCAGAATGTACGCTTTGATGAGATGATCAAAGATTTTCGGTTTATACAAAGTTTATGAGAAACTTGTATTTCCAAAGAAGTGAGTGGGAGCACTATAGAATTTCTGATGAGTATATGTTCTTGACATATTGTTGATCAGAAATGATGTAGAATTTCTAGAAAGCATATAGGGTTATTTGAAAAGTGTTTTTCAATGGAAAACCTGGATTAAGCTACTTGAACATTGAGCATCAAGATCTATAAGGATAGATCAAAACGCTTAATGGTACTTTCAAATGAGCACATACCTTGACATGATCTTGAAGGTGTTCAAGATGGATCAGTCAAAGAAGGAGTTCTTGCCTGAGTTGTAAGGTATGAAGTTAAGACTTAAAGCTCGACCACGGCAGAAGAAAGAGGAAGGACGAAGGTCGTCCCCTATGCTTTTGTCATAGGCTCTATGCGGTATGCCATGCTGAGTACCACACCTGATGTGTGCCTTGCCACATGTCTGGCAAGAGGGTACAAAGGTGATCTAGGAGTAGATCACCAGATAGCGGTCAAAATTATCCTTAGAGGAATAAGGATATGTTTCTCAGTTATGGAGGTGATAAAGAGTTCGACGTAAAGAGTTACGTCGATGCAAGCTTAACACCTATCCGTATAGCTCTGAGTAGAGATACCGGATACGTATAATGGAGCAACAATTTAGAATAGCTCCAAGTAGAACAGTTATTTGAAATGGCTCCAAATATAGCGTAGTAGCTGCATCTACAAGATGACATAGAGATTTGCGAAGTACATACGGATCTGAATGTTGCAGACCCATTAACTAAAACCTCTCTCACAAGCACAACATGATCAAACCTAGAACTCTTTGGGTGTTAGTCACATGGGGATGTGACCTTGAGTGTTAATCACATAGCGATGTGAACTGGATTATTGACTCTAGTGCAAGTGGGAGACTGTTGGAAATATGCCCTAGAGGCAATAATAAATTAGTTATTATCATATTTCCTTGTTCATGATAATCGTTTATTATCCATGCTAGAATTGTATTGATAGGAAACTCAGATACATGTGTGGATACATAGACAACACCATGTCCCTAGTAAGCCTCTAGTTGACTAGCTCGTTGATCAATAGATGGTTACGGTTTCCTGACCATGGACATTGGATGTCGTTGATAACGGGATCACATCATTAGGAGAATGATGTGATGGACAAGACCCAATCCTAAGCCTAGCACAAGATCGTGTAGTTCGTTTGCTAAAGCTTTTCTAATGTCAAGTATCATTTCCTTAGACCATGAGATTGTGCAACTCCCGGATACCGTAGGAATGCTTTGGGTGTGCCAAACGTCACAACGTAACTGGGTGGCTATAAAGGTGCACTACGGGTATCTCCGAAGGTGTCTGTTGGGTTGGCACGAATCGAGACTGGGATTTGTCACTCCGTGTGACGGAGAGGTATCTCTGGGACCACTCGGTAGGACATCATCATAATGTGCACAATGTGACCAAGGGGTTGATCACGGGATGATGTGTTATGGAACGAGTAAAGAGACTTGCCGGTAACGAGATTGAACAAGGTATCGAGATACCGACGGTCGAATCTCAGGCAAGTACAATACCGCGAGACAAAGGGAACTGCATACGGGATTGATCGAATCCTCGACATCGTGGTTCATCCGATGAGATCATCGTGGAACATGTGGGAACCAACATGGGTATCCAGATCCTGCTGTTGGTTATTGACCGGAGAATGTCTCGGTCATGTCTGCATGGTTCCCGAACCCGTAGGGTCTACACACTTAAGGTTCGATGACGCTAGGGTTATAAAGGAAGTTTGTATGTGGTTATCGAATGTTGTTCGGAGTCCCGAATGAGATCCCGGATGTCATGAGGAGTTCCGGAATGGTCCGAAGGTAAAGAATTATATATGGGAAGTCTTGTTTTGGTCACCGGAAAAGTTTCGGGTTTTATCGGTAATGTACCGGGACCACCGGGAGGGTCCCGGTGGTCCACCAAGTGGGGCCACCAGCCCCGGAGGGCTGCATGGGCCAAGTGTGGGAGGGGACCAGCCCCAGGTGGGCTGGTGCGCCCCCCCACAAGGGCCCAAGGCGCCTAGGGTTTGGGGAGGGGGCGCCTCCACCTAGCTTGGGGGGCAAGTTTCCCCCTCCCCCCCCTTGGCCGCCACCCTAGATGGGTTTGGGGCTGCCGCACCCCTTGGGGTGGAAACCCTAAAGGGGGCGCACCCCCTCCCTCTCCCCTATATATACTTGAGGACTTTGGGGCTGCCAATAGATGAGTTTTGACCTCTCCACGGCGCAGCCCTGCCTCTCTCCCTCCTCCTCTCCCGCGGTGCTTGGCGAAGCCCTGCAGGATTGCCACGCTCCTCCACCACCACCACACCGTCGTGCTGCTGCTGGACGGAGTCTTCCCCAACCTCTCCCTCTCCCCTTGCTGGATCAAGGCATGGGAGACGTCACCGGGCTGCACGTGTGTTGAACGCGGAGGTGCCGTCCGTTCGGCACTAGGATCTTCGGTGATTTGAATCACGACGAGTACGACTCCATCAACCCCGTTCACTTGAACGCTTCCGCTTAGCGATCTACAAGGGTATGTAGATGCACTCCCCTTTCCTCGTTGCTAGATTACTCCATAGATTGATCTTGGTGTTGCGTAGAATTTTTTTGAATTTCTGCTACGTTCCCCAACATATATAAGCCACCCCCCTCCTCCGAGACAAGGGTTGGCACCCCTGTAATTCACACACACATACTCCAGTCGACCGCCTTCGGGCTCCGAGACGTAGGGCTATTACTTCCTCCGAGAAGGGCCTGAACTCGTAAACCTCGCGTGCTTACAACTTCTCCATAGATAGGATCTTGCCTTTCCATACACCCCCCCTACATCACTGTCAGACTTAGACCCACGACACCCAACACGGAGATCGTAGACATCTTCGACGACGAGTAATATAGGGTAGATAGAATATCTACGTAGTACATAGATTTTATTTTAGATGGTTTGTATGGATTTGAGATATTAATTTTAAGGTAGTTAAATGCAGCAGACGAAATATGAGAGGTGATAGGTCAATGTCCGCGACACGTCAGATTTGCGGCTGTAGATGCTCTTATGTAGTGTCTCCGAGTGTGATCGTTGCTAGTGCCACGACGGGATCTCTACTCTTAAGATGCGATTTTTTTTTTCGGGGAGATAGGATGCGAATATCAACTTGGCTGAGTCGCTAGCTGGGTCGCTTGGTGGTGACTGGTGTGGCGAGAAATCGAGAAGGAAATTTGCCAGCCAGCACGGACCACCACGTCGTCCAGATTAATTCGTCACATTTCATCTGGCAGTTTCAACAAACCCATTCACCAGTCGACCACCCCCGTAACTGAACCCAACGTCAGGCACCAGGACACGCCGCCCAATCAGGCTACAGATCAGCTCAGCCATAGCGACAAAAGCGAAATCGATATAAAATAATCAAAACCCGATCCAGGATCCACGCTCGCCGTGAGGCGCAGATCTCACGGTGGATCGGTCGACTCGATCCCCTCCCTCCCGCCTATAAAACCCTTTTCCAACCTCGCCTTCTCCCCCACCCACCGCGTCCGTCACAGTTCGTTCACACCCGCTCCACTCGTCCGTGCTCCTCCTCCCCGCAGCCGATCCCGTCGTGGATGCAGCCGCGCGGGAGATCCTTCAACCGCCGCTCCCGCAGCTTCTCCCGCGCCCGCCTCGCCGTCGAGGGCTCCTAATCCCGCCCGCCTCCCGTAACGAACCATCCCCTCTGAATTCACGCGGGACAGCTCGCCGTTAACGGCCACGCGAACGAAGATGGACGCCTCCGCCGCCGCCGCCGCGGAAATCGCTGCCAACGGTAAGTAGGACCGTCCCGTATCGACCGGGCCGGACCGGATCGGATCTCTGTTCTCGCTTGGTTGGGGAGAACGGTCGAGCACATGGTGTGCGTGTCTGCTCTGTTTGCTGGAGTGGGGTCAATGACGAGCGTGTGTGTTGCAGGGGTGCTGGCGAAGCTGGAGGAGGAGAGGGAGGCGCAGAAGAGGTACTGGGAGGAGCACTCCAGGGACCTCACCGTCGAGGCCATGATGCTCGACTCCCGCGCCGCCGATCTAGACAAGGAGGAGCGCCCCGAGGTGATAACCCCATGCCATCGCCTCGTTTCCGTTCCCGTTGTTCAGTGATAATCGTTAAGTAATAGCTACGGATACACGATATTTTTCGTTTCTTCAACTGACCACCTGCCTGGATCCGGGGAGCATGTGTGTTGATTTACTGCTTTTGCCCCCCACCCGGCACCAAGTATAATCAAGCATAATATTGGCGGTACCTAGAAAGAAATGCATGTTGTACTCGTTGATGCTTTTGGAGGTGCTGCATTATTTTGGGGACTAAACTGATTGGTATTGTGTGGGGTTCAACGAAACTGTGCTCATTGGTGATGCTGACACCTACTTTTTAGTGTTCCCCCGAGTCCTGGTTTGGTTCAAGAAAATATCGTATCCACTTGAGATGATGCCAAAAACCTCAACTTACACATTTTCTTCCCTTTGGAGGTTGTACTCATTTTTTGGTTCGATAGAAGTTTGACATTCATATTCTCCTTAATAATAAAAATCCATCCTCCTGTATTTACATTGAACATTGACATGCCATACTACATCAGGTATCATATACGAAGCCTTACCATGCTACATGCAGAGTACAAGAATAATCTGTATTTCCCATGAAGCAGACATGATTTCTTGAAAATGAGAACTTTATAACATGTTTCTCTCGACTTGTAGTATCACCATTCTCATATAGTTCTACCATTCCTTTTCAGATACTGTCTTTACTTCCTTCATATGAAGGAAAATCAGTGCTGGAGCTTGGTGCTGGAATAGGTCGCTTTACTGGTGAACTGGCTAAGACAGCTGGGCATGTCCTCGCAATGGATTTCATTGAAAGCGTGATTAAAAAGGTATCAACATTTAAGAAAATATATTGGATGTCTGAATTGCGATGTCATTCGTTTTAATCTCTGCATGCATAGCTTGCCTGGTTGGCTGAGCTCTTTTGAATATATTTTCTTTGTAGAATGAAAGCATAAATGGCCATTACAAAAATGCATCCTTCATGTGTGCTGATGTTACATCTCCGGACCTGGTGATTGAGGATAACTCCATCGATCTCATATTTTCAAACTGGTTACTGATGTATCTTTCGGACGCGGAGGTAAGAGAACACACTTATGAACCTGGTTATTTGTCTCAATCCTTGATTTAATAATCATTTCCAGGCTTGATAAAATCATAGTAATCCTTTATTTTCCAGATAAATAGTTAACCCTGGTTTTTAAAAACTTAAATGATAACATTTCCTATGCAAACTAACTTTGTTGGCATGTGTTGGCTGCTATTTTTTTTTCTTGCGACTGTTCCTAACCTTTATCCCTTATTGTAGGTTGAGAAGCTTGTAGAAAGAATGGTTAAATGGCTAAAAGTTGGTGGCCATATCTTCTTTAGAGAATCATGTTTCCATCAATCTGGAGACTCAAAAAGGAAAGTGAATCCGACACATTATCGTGAACCAAGGTTTTATACTAAGGTGAAAATGCTTTCCTACCGCTAGTGCCTCTTCTCCCATTTCAATTTCAGTTTTCAGTCTGTTTTCTGCTCTATTTGAAATTGATCATTACCTACTTTACAGCATATAAGCTATTGCCTCTAGAATGCATACCACAGGACAAATTAGTGTCATTTGCACTACTTTGTAATAATTTTATGTAGGATTGAATGGCTTCGCCATTTTCATTGCTTATCCGAGCTTTTGCCAACAAATTGATACGGTAGCATTTTCTTTTAAATAGCTAACATTTGATTTACAAAATAGGTATTTAAAGAGGGCCATGCCATTGATCAGAGTGGGAACTCCTCTGAACTTTCTCTACTCACTTGCAAGTGCGTTGGAGCTTATGTGAAGAACAAGAAGAATCAAAACCAGGTACTTCTCAGTCCATTGTACACTTTAGATATGCATTTACTTTCCATGAGCTAGTGAAATTGATGAATATGACTCCACGCTTTTTAGATATGTTGGCTATGGCAAAAAGTCAACTCAACAGAAGATCGGGATTTCCAAAGATTCTTGGATAATGTGCAGTACAAAATCAGTGGAATATTACGCTATGAGCGTGTTTTTGGGCAAGGTTTTGTGAGCACTGGTGGAATTGGTGAGGGCATATATGACCATCTGTTATTATGAAACCTGTGACATTCTAGTTTGTAATGTACGCTTACAACCGCTTATTTATTGTCATTCACAGAGACTACAAAAGAATTTGTGGACTTGCTCGATCTTAAACCTGGGCAGAAGGTGCTTGATGTTGGATGTGGAATCGGTGGTGGTGATTTTTATATGGCCGAAAACTATGATGTTCATGTTGTTGGTATTGATCTTTCCATAAACATGGTTTCATTTGCACTTGAGCATGCTATTGGACGCAAGTGCGCAGTCGAGTTTGAAGTTGCTGATTGCACCACAAAGACATACCCAGACAATACATTTGACGTTATCTACAGCCGTGACACTATCCTTCACATACAAGTATGTTCTTAACTTCTTATACATATCATCAACTGCCCACTTCGAGGTTTTAGTGAGCTGAAGTAATTGCAGCTGAAATGTAAAAAAATCATGCTTAGTTTTGCATCTACAAAAAAATTGACGTGTTTGCATCTACAATTGGTGATTACTCTCTGTGTCATTCCTTATTTGGTGCCAGAACAACAGTTTTATGACTAGTGCTGCTTTTGTATTTGCAGGATAAACCTGCTTTGTTTAGAAGTTTCTTCAAATGGCTAAAACCTGGGGGTAAGGTCCTAATCAGTGATTACTGTAGGAGTCCAGGAAAACCATCTGAAGAGTTTGCGGCATACATTAAGCAGAGGGGTTACGACCTTCATAACGTAGAGACTTATGGACAGGTGCCACTTAATTGCGATGATATATTGTTAGTACTGTTTGTGTAAGAAAATGTTGGATCTCCATTAACTTGTATATACATCAAAACTATGCAGATGCTACAGAATGCTGGTTTCCATGATGTCGTTGCTGAAGACCGCACTGATCAGGTTATTCCCTCACCAGCTCATTGGCTTGCAACTTTTAGTGTTATGTTTTCTTCCGAAAAGATGTAGAGAGCAGTTTCTTGGATACTAATTAATGCTGAATTCTGCATTTCAGTTCCTGAAAGTTTTACAGAGGGAGCTAGCCGAAGTTGAAAAGAACAAAGATGAATTTCTGGCTGACTTCGGCCAGGTAAGCCCTTAACAGGCCCAACCATGAACTGGCAGTTTAGATGTCTCCATTCTTTCGATGTTCCTAGCAAGCATATCTTAATATTCTAAAAAAAATGCAAGCATATCTAATTGTTAGTTTGATTTATTTTCAGGAGGACTATGATGACATTGTGACTGGGTGGAACGCGAAACTTCAGAGGAGCTCTGCTGGTGAGCAGAGGTGGGGGCTGTTCATCGGGACCAAGTGATGGCCCAGATCTGCGGGTGTTTGCAAATAAAGTGGCTTCATTTTCATGTGGCCTTTTTCTTAATTTGGTTTTGCAATTGATATTTACCTATCCTATCTCTCAGTGATTCGAGAAAACTGGTCATCACGGTCCTGTACTAATTCGATTATGCGTGAAATACCGATATAAGTACCACCTATGTTTGAAGTATAAAACCACTTCGTGGCTTTCCTACCAAACTATGACCTGTGAAGTTTGTGAAGTTTGTGTTTTATGCGCGCTCTTTTCATCTACTGAATTTTGGACTTCCTTGAGGAAAAATCCCTGGAGATTATATGCACCAGTGTCATTTGAATTCGGCACTAGGAAGTGTATAACTGCTGCATCTTGTTGGAAGCCAAGTGGTATTTAGCATGTGGAAATGGAAGGAGGATACAAATTGTGGAATCACTCGGGAGCGGGGCAGTTTGCATACTTGTCCCAGTTTTTTTAAGCCGAAACCGTAGAACAATTGTTCTACGGTATATTATCTATATTATCATTTAATAAATAATATGTACAAAGCAACAAAGAATACAATAACAGGTTCAGCCAATGCCTGTTTTAGGGAACAACATAGCTAAATTAGAGGTTCTGCTAACTCTCAGTCCCTCTTTGAAGTAATACTTCCATGTGTCAAGCGTTGGGGTAGCCATTCTGAAGATCTTATCATTTTTGCTCATCCACAAGCTCCAACATCCCATAATGAGAATTTCCATTGAAATGGCCTCTGGTAGGTTGATGGATTCCTCTCAGTCTAGTTGGATTGATGGACTGCAACACACAGTAGCAAATTGGCAATCCCAAAAGTGGTGTGTAATCGTTTCACTGGTGGCCTCTGAGCAAAGTGCACAATTGTAATCCTGCAGGTACATGTTTCTTCTCTGTAGCAGACTTCTTGAACTAACTCTGTCATGAAGTAACAACCAAAAGAAGATCTTATGCCGTAGCCTGCATGCTGTTTTCCAGAGTCTCTTAAGATAATGTGTGTTGTTCTAGTACCCATTATGGCCTTGTACATTTTCATGGATGAGTACTTAGGAGCTGACCAAGTGTAAGTCTAGATGTCTTTCTCCTCATTGACTGTTTTGTTGTCAAAAAGTCTACTAGAGTAGTGTATTGCTCATAAGCCTGTTGTGACAGTGGCCTATGGAATAGCAAGCTGTAATCCTCTAGTTCCATAGTTTCATGCAGTGTAATGTCTGGGTTGATTGCAAAAGAATGTAGTTCAGGATATTTGGTGCTGAGTGGCAATCCATTCCAGTTATCAGTCCATAGTAATACCGTGTCACCTTTCCCTGCTTTGCACATAGCATGTTTCTTAAAGGTTGGCAGGAGCTTCAGAATAGCTTTCCACCAGAAGGAACCTACCAATTGTTCTCCAGGCAATCTGTTCTGGTAGTGCTTTTCCCAATTATGTTGACCCAGGGGATATCCATTTTGTTGAAAAACTTGTGGAGGAACTTGATGAGCAGTGCCATGTTCTGAGCGTGGAGATCAAGTACTCCAAGGCCACCATGATCTTTTTGTGACGCCCCCAATTTGACCGTACACTAATCATACACGCAAACGTGTACGATCAAGATCAGGGACTCACGGGAAGATATCACAACACAACTCTACAAATAAAATAAGTCATACAAGCATCATATTACAAGCCAGGGGCCTCGAGGGCTCGAATACAAGAGCTCGATCATAGACGAGTCAGCGGAAGCAACAATATCTGAGTACAGACATAAGTTAAACAAGTTTGCCTTAAGAAGGCTAGCACAAACTGGGATACAGATCGAAAGAGGCGCAGGCCTCCTGCCTGGGATCCTCCTAACTACTCCTGGTCGTCATCAGCGGGCAACACGTAGTAGTATGCACCTTCGGTGTAGTAGGAGTCGTCGTCGACGGTGGCGTCTGGCTCCTGGGCTCCAACATCTGGTTGCGACACATAGGTAGAAGGGATAGAGGGAAAAGAAGGAGAAAGCAACCGTGAGTACTCATCCAAAGTACTCGCAAGCAAGGAGCTACACTACATATGCATGGGTATATGTGTAAAGGGCCATATCAGTGGACTGAACTGCAGAACGCCAGAATAAGAGGGGGATAACTAATCCCGTCGAAGTCTACGCTTCTGGCAGCCTCCGTCTTACAGCATGTAGGAGAGGGTAGACTGAAGTCCTCCAAGTAGCATCGCATAGCATAAACCTAACCGATGATCCTCCCCTCGTCGCCCTGTGAGAGAGCGATCACCGGTTGTATCTGGCACTTGGAAGGGTGTGTTTTATTAAGTATCCGGTTCTAGTTGTCATAAGGTCAAGGTACAACTCCAAGTCGTCCTGTTACCAAAGATCACGGCTATTCGAATAGATTAACTTCCCTGCAGGGGTGCACCACATATCCCAACACGCTCGATCCCATTTGGCCGGACACACTTTCCTGGGTCATGCCCGGCCTCGGAAGATCAACACGTCGCAGCCCTACCTAGGCACAACAGAGAGGTTAGCACGCCGGTCTAAATCCTATGGCGCAGGGGTCTGGGCCCATCGCCCATTGCACACCTGCATGTTGCGAACGCGGCCGGTGAGCAGACCTAGCAACCTCCATATCAAAGGAAGTTGCGTTACGCGGTCCAACCCGGCGCGCGCCGCTCAGTCGCTGATGTCACGAAGGCTTCGGCTGATACCACGACGTCGAGTGCCCATAACTGTCCCCGTGTAGATGGTTAGTGCGTATAGGCCAGTAGCCAGACTCAGATCAAATACCAAGATCTCGTTTAACGTGTTAAGTATCTGCGAACGCCGACCAGGGCCAGGCCCACCTCTCTCCTAGGTGGTCTCAACCTGCCCTGTCGCTCCGCCACAAAGTAACAGTCGGGGGCCGTCGGGAACCCAGGCCCACCTCTACCGGGATGGAGCCACCTGCCCCTTCAGCCCCCATCTCCGAACAGTATCATAAGTAATGTAAATGTGTAAAGTATTTAGTATATGCCCGTGATCACCTCCCGAAGTGATCACGGCCCAGTAGTATAGCATGGCAGACAGACAAGAGTGTAGGGCCACTGATGGAACACTAGCATCCTATACTAAGCAGTAGGATAGCAGGTAATGGTAACAACAGTAGTAGCAAGGACAGGCTATGCATCAGGATAGGAATAACGGAAAGCAGTAACATGCTACACTACTCTAATGCAAGCGGTATAGAGAAGAGTAGGCGATATCTGGTGATCAAAGGGGGGGCTTGCCTGGTTGCTCTGGCAAGAGAGAGGGGTCGTCAACACCGTAGTCGTACTGGGCAGCAGCGACGTCGGTCTCGGTGTCTAGCGGAAGAAGAGGGGGGAAGAAACAATGAATACAATGCAAACAGATGCATAACGATGCATGACAAGACTAGTAACGGTGCTAGGGGTGCCCTAACGCGGTATGAGGTGATACCGGTGAAGGGGGGAAACATCCGGGAAAGTATCCCCGGTGTTTCACGTTTTCGGGCAGAGGAGCCGGAGGGGGAAAGTTACGAGTTCGATAGGTTAGGGAGGTGTGGCGGACGAACGGGTTGCGTATCCGGAATCGTCTCGACGTTCTGAGCAACTTTCATGTTGAAAATATTTTAATCCGAGTTACGGATTAAAAGATATGAGTTTCTAAAGATTTTATTAATTTCTGGAATTTAATTAATTATTTAAATTAATTCGAAAAACAGATTAATGACATCAGCATGATGTCATGCCGACATCAGCAGTCAACTAATCAGTTGACCTAGTCAAACTGACATGTGGGTCCTACTGTCATTGTCTATGACTAACTAAACAGGTTTAATTAGTTTAGTTAATTGATTAGGTTAGTTAAACACAATTAATTAAGTTAATTAATTAATTAGTTAATTAGTTAATTATTTTTTTATTAATTATTATTTTTAATTCTCTCTTTTTTTAAACATTTTTGTTCTGGGGCTGGGGCCCCTTTGTCAGTGGGCCAAAGGCCTAGCGGGTGTGGGCGCCGGGCGGAGGCCGTAGCCCGCCCGGTTGCGGGGCGAGGCCGTGGCCATCCGGTCGCGGGCTCGCTGGCATAGGGCCGAAGGCGAGGCCAAGGGTGGCCAGCAGCGGCGATGGTGGTCGCGTCGGAGGTAGCAGGGGGCTGCGGTGGTGCGGGCCACGGCAGGTGCGAGCGCTCCGGGAAGGAGAAGCACTGCGGGTGCGGCTCGGCGCGACGGCACGCCGGGCGAGACGAGGCCGCGGTGAGCACGGGCGGGGCGCGTACAGGGCGATGGCCAGGGGCGTGCGCAGAGTGCGGTGACCGCGGTGACGGACGAGGAGAGGGGGAGCTCACAGGGGAGGGAGTAGGGCACGGGCAGCGGGCTTGGGGGAAGGTTGGGGTGGTCGGACGACGGAGCGGATGAGGACGTCCGGCGAGGCTTGACGGAGCCGATGAGGAGGCGAGGCGACGTGGAGCGGCTCCGGCGAGCGGCGTCCGTCGGCGAGGTCAGGGCGTCCGGCG